TATCTCCCGCATGCTGCGTCCTTTGGTGCGATTCTCCTTGATTGAATATTGCCTGTCATGTGATAGAGGAATCACGGTAAAATAGGGAGTAGAAAATTATTGTGCTATCCATATACACATTGCATGTTTGTATGCACCAGCATACATGGCAACGAGCAAAAGGAAAGAGAATTAACACAGAAGGAAAGAGAATTAAGACAAAAGGAACCTCTTTGCATTTCTGAGAACCTTGTCAAATCTGCCTATATTTAATTACTTCCCCTCTTTGCATTTGCAAAAGGGACAACTTTTTTCTCCTTTCATTTGGTTTCAAGCTCACGTGTTCCATCGCCCTCGCTTACTGTTTCTTGCTGAAATTGCCGTTGGGTCTGTTTATTTTAAATCCTTTCCCCATATTCTAATTAAACTATAAAATTTTTAATTAAGATACGAGGTAAGACATGTCTCCTACAACTAAAAAGAATAAAGTGTGGATATTTTTTTTGTGCGACATTTGTTTTGGTTCGTCCGTCTGTCCACGCCTGCGATCCCACGACATCTCCCGCATGCTGCGTCCTTTGGTGCGATTCTCCTTGATTGAATATTGACAGTCATGTGATAGATGAATCATGGCAAAATAGAAAGTAGAAAATTATTGTACTATCCATATACACATTGCATGTTTGCATGCATCAGCATACATGGCAGCGAGCAAAAGGAAAGAGAATTAACGCAGAAGGAAAGAGAATTAAGACAAAAGAAACATCTTTGCATTTATGAGAATCTTGCCAAATCTGCCTACATTTAATTACTTCTCCTCTTTGCATTTACAAAAAGGACAACTTTTTCCTCCTTTCATTTGGTTTCACGCTCCCGTGTTCCATCGCCCTCGTTTGCTGTTTCTTGCTGAAATTACCCTTGGGTCTGTTCATTTTGAATCATTTCTCCATATTCTACTTAAACTACAAAATTTTGAATTAGGATACGAGGTAAGACATGTACAACTAAAAAGAATAAAGTGTGGACATTTTTTGGTGCGATATTTGTTTTGGTTCGTCCGTCTGCCCACGCCTGCAATCCCACGACATTTTCCGCATGCTGCGTTCTTTGGTGCGATTCTCCTTGATTGAATATTGCCTGTCATGTGATAGAGGAATCACGACAAAATAGGAAGTAGAAAATTATTGTGCTATCCATATACACATTGCATGTTTGCATGCACCAGCATACATGGCAACGAGCAAAAGTAAAGAGAATTAACACAGAAGGAAAGAGAATTAAGACAAAAAGGAACCTCTTTGCATTTCTGAGAACCTTATCAAATCTGCCTACATTTAATTACTTCCCCTCTTTGCATTTCCAAAAGGGATAACTTTTTCCTCCTTTCATTTGGTTTCACGCTCACGTGTTTCATCGCCTTCGCTTGCTGTTTCTTGCTGAAATTGCCCTTGAGCCTGTTCATTTTGAATCCTTTCCCCATATTCTAATTAAACTACAAAATTTTGAATTGGGATACGAGGTAAGACACGTACAACTAAAAAGAACAAAGCGTTGATATTTTTTGTGCGACATTTATTTTGGTTTGTCCGTCTACCCACGCCTGCGATTCCACGACATCTCCCGCATGTTGTGTCCTTTAGTGCGATTCTCCTTGATTAAATATTGTCTGTCATGTGATAGAGGATTCACGACAAAATAGGAAGTAGAAAATTATTATGCTATCCATATACACATTGCATGTTTGCATGCACCAGCATACATGGCAACGAGCAAAAATAAAGAGAATTAACACAGAAGGAAAGAGAATTAAGACAAAAAGGAACCTCTTTGCATTTATGAGAACGTTGCCAAATCTGCCTACATTTAATTACTTCCCCTCTTTGTATTTGCAAAAAGGACAGCTTTTTTCTTCTTTCATTTGGTTTCACGCTCACGTGTTTCATCGCCCTCGCTTGCTGTTTCTTACTGAAATTGCCCTTGGGTCTGTTCATTTTGAATCTTTTTCCCATATTTTAATTAAACTACAAAATTTTGAATTAGGATACGAGGTAAGACATGTACAACTAAAAAGAATAAAGTGTGGACATTTTTTGGTGCTACATTTATTTTGGTTCGGCCGTCTACCCACACCTGCGATCCAACGACATCTCCCGCATGCTGCGTCCTTTGGTGCGATTCTCTTTAATTGAATATTGTCTGTCATGTGATAGAGGAATCACGGCGAAATAGGAAGTAAAAAATTATTGTGCTATCCATATACACATTGCATGTTTGCATGCACCAGCATACATGGCAGCGAATAAAAGGAAAGAGAATTAACACAGAAGAAAAGAGAATTAAGACAAAATGAATCTCTTTGTATTTCTGAGAACCTTGCCAAATTTATCTACATTTAATTACTTCTCCTCTTTGCATTTGAAAAATGGACAGTTTTTTTCTTCTTTCATTTGGTTTCACGCTCACGTGTTCCATCGTCCTCGCTTGCTGTTTCTTGCTGAAATTGCCCTTGGGTCTGTTCATTTTGAATCATTTCCCCATATTCTAATTAAACTACAAAATTTTGAATTAGGATACGAGGTAAGACATGTATAACTAAAAAGAACAAATTGTGGACATTTTTTGGTACGATATTTGTTTTGATTCGTCCGTCCGTCCACGCCTGCGATCCCACGACATCTCCCGCATGCTGTGTCCTTTGGTGCGATTCTTCTTGATTGAATATTGCCTGTCATGTGATAGAGAAATCACGGCAAAATAGGAAGTAGAAAATTATTATGCTATCCATATACACGTTGCATGTTTGTATGCACCAGCATACATGGCAACGAGCAAAAGGAAAGAGAATTAACACAGAAGAAAAGAGAATTAAGACAAAATGAATCTCTTTGTATTTCTGAGAACCTTGTCAAATCTACCTATATTTAATTACTTTTCCTCTTTGCATTTGCAAAAGGGATAGCTTTTTTCTATTTTCATTTGGTTTCACGCTCACGTGTTCTATCGCCCTCGCTTGTTGTTTCTCGCTGAAATTGCTCTTGGGTCTGTTCATTTTGAATCCTTTCCCCATATTCTAATTAAACTACAAAATTTTGAATTAGGATACGAGGTAAGACATGCAAATAGATATTTCAAAACTACCTGTAGAGTCCAAAGAACTTAATAAATAAATTCTTCTGGAGGCAAATGTAAATTCTCTCTAATCTTTCATTTGGTGTAGTTAGTGTTATCATAGTACCCGCATGTATTCATGAGAAATAAATCGTGGTCAAAACGTGGACACTTTTTAGTGCGACATTCCAACAAGGGTCCATCGTCCTGCTAATATCCTTGAGGCAGATCACATAAAGGATGAGAGTCCCTCTATAAGATTACTCACAAGAGACTCAAACTTATATCTGATCATGGTAATGTTGAATTGCTTTGCATCAAAAGCATCGGCAATGATAAACGGGGACATATGTTTTAGTATGCATAGTGGAGGAAAACTCAACCTTGGCCTTCTCAGTAGCTTTTCCGAGCCTTTGCAGTGCTAACTTGTCCATACTCAGATAGTCAAGAGGTGCACTACAAAATTATGCACCACTAAGAAAAGTGTCACCATTGGTTGCCTTGACCTGAAAAATGTGTCGAAATTAAGAATTACAACACCTAATTCAACGTCTTGGAACAGACACTCAAGTGGATACCCTATTCTACAATATATGTCTGTGTGGAATAGTCCTAAAGCCACACATATTTATACGGTGAGTATAACATACTTTGTTTTAAAATTTTATGAGAGATTTTTTAAGACACGCAGTATTATCCATGTGACAGACACTAATATTTACATATATACTCGAACCTGTGTGTACAGGATTATATGGAGATGCAGCGGAACTTATTCATGGATTTATTGGCGCATGAAAGAAATGGATATCGTAGAATTATTTCTGCCGATATAAAATATTATCTTAACCATATTACGAAAAAGTCTATACAGTAGAGTTTGTGAGCCTACGACGCCGCGCTCTTCGTGACTGTGTTAATTTCACGAACTTTACTTTTTAAATTAAATGTCACTTTAACGTCGGTATTTAATTTAACAGTATTGTTATCTTATCGTGCGATCCGTGTGTTTTTAGTAAAAAAAAATTTTGTTGTCCCATAGCAACGTACGGGCACGCAACATGGTAGTCCATTCATTCCCCAACATCACGCATTCGTTTGCGGCTTTGCGCCGAGGCGGCTCCGCGTGCCGCTTTCTGTTCCGAATTAGCGGAAGGTGGAGGCGGCTCAAGGTCACTAATGGCTTTTTTGCCCATTTATAACGCAGGTAGAGATGCTCCGATTATCTCATGCTGCAGAAGTCCAGATACCAAAGTCTCATCATCTCATCATCCCCAGATCCAGGCATCCAGCCAGCGACAAAAGCCGACAGATTCATCTCCGCGGGCACACGCAAAGGTAAAGTGTGATCCGACTCTTTTCTTCTTCCAGATTCATCCTTCTGAGTTCTGACTTCTGACCTTCTCCTTCCTACAGACCGGCTCCTTTGCTTCCAACACAATCTTGTCACAAAGGACTAACGGCCGGAACATTGATCCCAAATAATTTATTCTTAGATCAATGTGGCTGAAATTGAAGTGGCAAATAAAGAATATAAAGATCGAGATGCAACTTTCGCTTTGGCATATATCCTTTGAGTGTGCTAGCAGAGCAAGCTAGGATGGCAATGCATCCTTTTTTTCTTTCTCGTCATCTCCAAGCTGAAGGGCAAAGGACTCATTCAGCTCTTGCCTGCAAACCCAAGTATCCCTCTTGCGTACCATGAATCCATGATGTGCAGTGCATGGAAACGGCAAGCTTGGTATCTGCTTTGCAGACCTCTGTCTTCACTCTTCAGCATATACAATCGTTTTGATCATAAGCTCTGCCATATATACATCGTGCTCCTACTTCTTCCTGAACCTCAACCTGCTTATCCACACATACTCTTCAAAAGCCAGTGTTTGTGAATTGGGAGGGAGAAGAGGGCGGTGATGGAAGCGACAGGGTTGAGTTTGGGAAAGTCTGTGCTGGATGGAGTCCTCAGCTACGCCAACTCCGCCATCGCGGAGGAGGTGGCTTTGCAGCTGGGCATCACTGGCGACCAGGCTTTCGTCAGGGATGAGCTCGAGATGATGTTATCTTTCCTCATGGCTGCACACGAGGAGAGAGACGAGCACAAGGTGGTGAAGACCTGGGTGAAGCAGGTCCGCAACGTGGCCTATGACGCTGAAGACTGCCTCCAAGATCTTGCTGTTCGTCATGGGAAGTCATCTTGGTGGTGCTTCCTTCGGAAGCTGGTTGATAGGCACCGTGTCGCCACACGGATGAAGGAACTCAGAGCCAAGGTTGAGGATGTCAGCCAGAGGAACATGCGGTATCGCCTCATCAAGGGCACTGGCCCCATGTCTGCAAGTGGAGCTGGGCCATCAAACATTTCTGGTGCAACAATGTTTGGCATTGAGGAAGCAAGGAGGCTGAAGGACAAAGCAAAAGTGGATCTTTCCCAACTGATCAATGAGGGGAATGGGGATCTTAGAGTGATTGCTGTGTGGGGAACAAGTACTGGTGTTCTTGGCCAGACCATCGTCATCAAAGGAGTGTATGATGATCTGAAGAGAAGCAAAATGTTTGAACTTTTTGCTTGGATCAGGATTGTGCATCCTTTCAATCTACTGGAGTTCCTCCAGTGCATTATGAGGCAATTCTATCAAACTTCTTTTGAAGATGTAGGGAAGACCCAAGAAAAAACTAACATTGGGGCTCAAGTTATTAAGAAGATGGGGAAGATGAAACAAGATGATTTGGTTGATGCATTCAGTGAGCATGTGAATGAGAAAAGCTATCTGATTGTGCTTAATGACCTGTCCACTGTTGAAGAGTGGGATGCGATTAAGGAATATTTTCCGGACAACAAGAAAGGAAGCCGAATCATTGTATCAACAGAGCACCGTGAAGTTGCAAGCCTATGTGCTGGGCAAGAATGTATTGTGTCGGAGCTCAACCAATCATCTGTTGATCAAAGTATTTTTGCTTCCTACAATAAGGTAATATCTATTAGAAGCTCTAATCATCTAATTAGCTTAGCTGTTCCTGTTCTTCTAGATCATTATCTCTGCTACATAAAATCCACGTGTCTGCTATAGCTAGTATTCTTTGAGCTCTGTTTCTGCAGTCTTGTGAAATAAAATGCATATTTCATTTAGAAGAGGAATTAGGAAGACGTGTTAAATTTTACAGTAAGGATCTAGTGCTAGCTATGATTCTCGTCTGCTTCATGATTGGGCCATGTTTCCGTTATCTAAAAAATTAACAACGGCCATGTACTAACCTCACTTCCTTTGTTTACATACGTATTTTGAGAAAATTGGCAGTCTATAAAAATCGAAAACAATGAATCTATTAAGTATTGAGGTTTGACATACCATAACAAGGCTGTAGGTACTAGGTAGTACGCAGCTCGTTTACTTATTTAACCTCACATACAACCCTGATTTGTGTACCAATCTAGTTTACGATGAGTCCCTTAGCCCTCTTGTTTCTTGTGACACTCACTACTAGAGAAACGACCTTTGAGCCGGCTCGAAATTTGACTTTAGTCCCGGTATATTTCGCGCCCGGGACTAGAGAGACCTTTAGTCCCGGTTTGTAGCTCCAACCGGGACTAAAGGTCCCTGCCCAACGGCTACTGCGGCAGGCTTTTGCTGCAGGGATCTTTAGTCCCAGTTGAAGCTATCAACCGGGACTAAAGGTTAACGTTTGCTTCCGGTTGATCCCTCCAACCGGGAGTAAAAGTCTACTCCCGGCTGGAGGCTCCATCCGGAACTAGAAGGACCTTTAGTCCCGGTTGCTGTCTCCAGCCGGGACTAAAGCTTCAAACTGTAACCGGCAGTCTTTATGTGTGTGCGAGGTGTGCTGTGTGTGTGGTCGCGGTGTATCTGAATATACTACAGCAGCCAAACTACTGAGGAGTGCCTGCAACCGTACTCCAGTTTGCTACCTCACGTGTGGTACCCTATTCAAATTTAGTCCCGGTACTCCACTTTGCAACCGTACAGCAGCCAAAATACTGAAGCATATTGCGTACTCTAGTTTGCAACCGTACAGCAGCCAAACAGCAGCCTAGCACAGCCGCCACCGGCACAGCAGCCTAGACCAAATCAATTAGTCCCGGCTGGTATTACGAGCCGGGACTAAAGGCGGCTGGTATTACCAGCCGGGACTAAAGGTCTTTTAGTCCCGGGTGTTTATAGGAGCCTCGATGGACCGGCCCAGTACGCAATATGCTGGAATTGCTGGCCAGTCTCACCTATTAGCACCACCTCGCTTGTTTAGAAGAGTGAAAGCTAACTTAAAAGCTCAACTCTCAAACCATGCAGCACGAACTTGAACATGATCTGCTCTATAGGATTGTACTGCTGATCCTTGACTAAAGGTCCTTCGTACTATAGTTTATACAAAATGTTGAACATTATAAACGTACATATATTCTAGCAGCGTAGAATGCGTATTCAAAAACCAAAATGAATCATCAATTAAAAATAGAAAAAAAAGAAAATAGAAATAGAAACAAAAAAAACCTGGTAGCAGCGTGAAAATAGAAAAAAGGAAAATAGAAACAGAAACAAAAAAAAGGTAAAATAACCTTTAGTCCTGGTTGGTATTTGCCGGCCCCGTGGTATATCAGGAGGCACCTTTAGTCCCGGTTCCTGACCCGGGACTAAAGGACCCCCTTTAGTCCCGGATGCTTGCTCCCGGGTGGGGAACCAGGACTAGAGGGGGTTCTCCACCGGGAGTAAAGCCCGTCTCTGTACCAGTGACTGCATAAGTCGAAATGTGGAAAAGAAAGAAATTTGGACTATGCACGGGGTATATATCCCGATTTCTCCATTTTGGTCTGCCAGTGGTCATAATATGCATCTTGTACAAAAATATACCTTTAAAATGTGCCAACGATGAAGCTAAATCATGGGATTTTTTATATTATAACTACAATTTATCTGATAAATTGCACTTGGATATAAGATTCATTCTAGCGAATTGGCTACATATAATTACGTGTACTGATATATAATATTTAGGACCCAAAACAGCCCTAGTAGAACAACAATGCTCCACTTACGTGAAGTAATATTCTAGCAAGTTGAATTTTATATGAATTCAGGAATATATTTTTCACACATAGACTACAAGTACACAGTTCCAGCAATTTAAATGTATTTTGCTATTTCAATTTACAAATGTTCTGGTTTCAAATTTCTAGGAAAGCAGCCAAGTCAAATAGAAAAATCCATCTATATTCACAGATTTTTCGATTTGAAGTTCTTTGAAAGGAATATATGTCAAATATAATAAAAAAACTCGACCTGCGGGGGTAAGAGTAAGACAGCCGCCGAGCATTGTGTGATAGGGAAGATTTTGATCGAGAAAACCTCCGAACCCCTGCCCCAACCTTACACAATGGCACCGTAGCCCTTGTGAGAACCCAGGACCTGAGGAGTCCTACTGGAGCCATTGTACAACAACAACAACAACAAAGCCTTTAAGTCTCAAACAAGTTATGGTAGACTAGAGTTGAAACCCAGCAGAAGCAATCAAGGTTCAGGCACGTGAATAGCTGTTTTCCAAGCACTCTTATCTAAGGATAAGTCTTTGGATATATTCCGTCCTTTCAAGTCTTCTTTTATTGCCTCTACCCAAGTCAACTTCGGTCTTTCTCTGCCTCTCTTAACGTTACTATCCTGGCTTAGGATTCCACTATGCACCGGTGCCTCTGGAGGTCTCCGTTGGACATGTCCAAACCATCTCAACCAGTGTTGGACAAGTTTTTCTTCAATTGGTGCTACCCCTAATCTATCACGTATATCATCGTTCCAAACTTGATCCTTCTTATATGACCGCAAATCCAATGCAACATACGCATTTTCACGACACTTATCTGTTGAACATGTCGTCTTTTCGTAGGCCAACATTCCGCACTATACAACATAGCAGGTCTAATCACCGTCCTATAAAACTTGCCTTTTAGCTTCTGTGGTACCCTTTTGTCACATAGGACACCAGATGCTTGGCGCCACTTTATCCACCCTGCTTTGATTCTATAGCTAACATCTTCATCAATATCCCCGTCTCTCTGTAGCATTGATCCTAAATATCGAAATGTATCCTTCTTAGGCACTACTTGACCTTCCAAACTAATATCTTCCTCCTCCCGAGTATTAGTGCCAAAGTCACATCTCATATACTCAGTTTTAGTTCTACTGAGTCTAAAACCTTTGGACTCCAAAGTCTCCCGCCACAACTCCAGTTTCTGATTCACTCCTGTCCGGCTTTCATCAACTAGCACTACATCGTCCGCGAAAAGCATACACCAAGGGATGTCTTCTTGTATGTCCCTTGTGACCTCATCCATCACTAAGGTAAATTGGAGCCATTGTAATTCTTTAAATTTTTAAATTTTAAATAAAAATCTGAAATTCTTTAAATAAAGAAACTCAAAACAAGAAAGTTTTAGATCTCATTGAGCGCCACAACTTTTGTATAAAAAGTATCTTTATCCCACCATATACAAGAAAGATACGATTTTTCTAAGGCGACAAGTTTGGTACACAATTAGTATGCTGCTGAAACTTTATAATATTTTTTAGCATCTTAACGATCTCAAATGAGAAAACTAAAAATTATGAATATGTAGATCTCATCGAGAACTATAATTTTTATATAGAAAGTATCTTTATTCGATACCATACAAGGAAGATATGTTTTTTTTCTAAGGTGACAAGTTTGTTACACGATTAATACGCTTAAGAAACTTTGTAATATTTTTTTGAGTATCTTAACGATCTCAAATGAAAAAACTCAAAACTAGAAAGTTATATATCTTTTGAGGGTTACAATTTTCATATAAAAATCATCTTCATCTGAGGTTGTATGGAAAGGATATCATTTTTCTAAGATTAAGTCTTGTCGCTGACACGTGGGTTCCATCTGTCAGATCTACATAAGCACCGAGTCAGCATGTTATGTTAGTTATCAGGTCGGGTAAACACCCATTTGGGTCTAGATGATACCCAAACTAACTTTAGGGACCCAAAAATGCATTTTGAAATTTTAGGGACCTATATGACACCTACAGACAATTTCATGGACCTATGGTGAATTTCACTCTTTCCTAGATCATAACACGCCTCCCAAATCATAAGACGCCCAGCTCCAGCAGCACTATTGGCTCTAACGTCTCTGCTCCTCTCTTCTTCTTCTACATAAGCGCTGGACCGTGCTCATGCGGGTGAGGCGGTGATGTGGTGCCTATGGGGCACGGGTGCTAGACCCTCCGCCAGGGGAGAGGCGCTAAACCACATGTTGCCATCGTGGTTGCAAAAATACATGGTTCTTTGTCACAGACAAAACTAGTACTATTTTGCTGATGGCATAACTTTGCATGACATTTAGCGGCATATATTTCTAATGATAGATTTGGTAGCACTATCTGATGTCATGGGTGTCACAGAACTGACCAATTTATAAGAGCACAAGTACAATGGCAACCACCGGAGCGGTCGCACGGTTATACTTGAGTCCATATAAACCCGGTAGTCCATCGAGTATCACGAAGGACCTCGAATCATAACCAACATACAAACCAAGATCGTAAATGATTTAACATACATGTCACATGTTACATAAAGTTCACAAGTAGTTCAACATACATCGGAATACGAATAAAGTTATTACAACCCAAAATTCAAATTTAGTAGCGGAAGCAACATAGTTTTGAAACCATCACACACATAGTTCACATACATGCCAGTTTCATGATCATTTCCAACAAAAACACACAGAGAAACTACTAGAAAAGGCCTTGCCCGTCGACCTCATTCCTCGTCCACGGCGGGAGAGAAACAGTTCTTGCAATAACCATGATACACGATACCATCTGCAACAAGTGGGAATAAACCCTAAGTACTGGAATATACTCAGCTAGACTTACCCGTCATAAACAAAAAATAAAGAGACACCAAGGATTATGCAAGGCCATGAAAGGTAG